CAGTAATGCTGGTATGACTGCTATTACAGATATTCTAACTCAATTGTTAGTAACAGTTGTCATAATATAAATATTACATAAGTAATTATCTAAATTTTTACCATTGATAGGATTTGAACATCAACTTACCACTTGGGAGGTTGACAACCTGACCACTTCACTAAGTTGCTACATCCTCTTATAATCTTAATTTATTTTAATACTTTTGTACTAAAGTATATAATAAAAGATATGATAAGATTTTATTTTTATTTTTTTTTATTTTTTTTAAGATGACCTCTTTGGTTTTTTTGATTTTTATTAATTACTTATTGGTATTGTGGTTTAATGAACTACTACAAAAGAGTGTACAATTAGCTATATGTGTAATTTTTTTATATTACTTATTTAAGAAATTCACCTAAAGATTTCTTACTAATTGTTGTATCTAATACTTCTGCTTTGATGTTTCATTTTAAACTTTTTGAACCTATAATTTGTATTAACTCACTAGATCATATCTAGATGCCCAGATTATTGTCTTAACTTTAGAACTAATTTATCCTTAAGATAAACTCTTCAAAGCCTTCTGTATTAATTTTTACAACTAATCTAGATATTACTATAGCAGAACTAACACTTGCAGTTAGGGCTTAACTATTAAACTGCTATACTCTTGTTAAATTTACTTAGACTCTAGCATTTACTTTATAGCATAACCCCAGTACTTTAGTATATCTCTAAATTTTGTTAGACTCCTAATCCAAATGGCCTATATAGGATTATAATCAGTCTATTAGTATATTAGATTGGTTCAATATTCTTTTCTTTTGGTTCATTTCAGTGATCTGATTGGTAATATTTCTAAGACTCTCAAGCTAAAGGTTCTTGTCTGCCTGATTACTAAAACCTAGATATCTGTTTTCCCAGTCTAGCCTTTACAGTAAGACTGTCAAAGATCTAGTTATCTTTTTATTTGGGTCTTCTCAAATAAACTTCTTGTTATCCAATTTCAATAGATTTATATAGTCACAAGAACTTATCTAGTATTTGTACTGCCTAGTTGTCAGTTTGCATTTCTTTATATAACTCCAACATTGCACAAATGTCTTATGATCTGTTAGCCATGCTGTTGTGACTGTTATTATAGATATCCTAACCTAATTATTAGTAACAGTTGTTATAATATGAATATTATATAAGTGATTATTCAAATTTTTGTTATTGATAGGATTTAATATCCAACCTACCACTTAGGGGGTTGACAACCTGATCACTTTACTAGGTCACTACACCTCTATGAATAAGATTTTATCTTAATGTTAAAAAGAATATAAACTTCTAATATATACAAATTTAAATATTTTTATTAAAAACAAAATTATAACATCTACTAAATTTAAGGATAAATTGTTATAATAGTTTTATAATTTAGCTAATATATATATATTAAAACTTAATTAAAACTATATAATTAAGAAAAAATTATATATTAAATTTTAACATAAAATCTATTATCTACTTAATAAAAAAAATTAATTAAAACTTATTTATTTATATTATAATAGTTTTTTTTTGCTTTTATTAAGGCTATTAGTTATCAGTAATTACTGTCTTTATTGTGAATTCAATTATGATTATATAACTTGTATAAGGTAACTTCTATACTATACTAACAGATAATGTATAAGTTTCTATATACTAAAGTGCCATCTAACCTAATGCTAATCTTTTGTTTATATGTTTATTAGGTCATTACATATTTCAGAGTACATTACTTAACTATAAGACTTTAGAAAACTTTTCTGCTAACTAACTACTCATATTTAATCTTTGTTAACAGAATTTATTTTTATAAAGTTTATTTAAACTCTAGTACTAACTTTATAGCATATTTCTAATACTTAGTTTATATCTTGCTTTAGTTCTTAGACTTTTAATCCAAATAGTTTAGAAGAACTGTAATCTGTTTCTAGTATTTCAAGAGTTTGCCCTCTCAAATTCCTTTTTTTTTAGTTTAAAACTTCTAGTAATCTAGTTAGTAGTACTCTTCATCTGAGGTTCTTGCTTGCCTAATTCCTTCTATATTAGTATTTATTTCTTAGATCTAGCCTTTATAGTAGTATTATTGAAGTTTTGTGTTATCTTTCTACTTAGGTTTTTCTAAGTAGATTTTAGTTTTTTCTAGTTTTATAAATTTATACAGTTACAAGAACTTATCTTGAGTTTGCACTGTCTGATGCTAGTTTGTATTCTTCTGTATAACTCCAATATTGCATAGATGCTTTATGATCTGACAGTCATACTAGTGTAACTATAGTTACAGATATCTTAGAATTGCATTGCTATAATATTATTTATATTCTGTAATACTAATATTATATAGATAGTTTTCCAAATTTTTGTTATCAGTAGATTTTAAACTCTCAACCTATTACTTGAAGAGTTAACAACTTATTTACTTTACTAAGTTGCCATACCTCTTATATTATAATAGTTAAAAATAAATATAATATAATTTTATTTTATTTAAATAAAAATAAAATAATAGTAAAAAAATGTGATTATAATAAAAATAATAGATTTTATTATAAAAAAATAAGAATATAATAACTTAATAAAGTAAACAGATTGTCAACTCTTAAGTGATAAGTCTAAGATTCAAATTCTATAAATAACAAAATTTAGAAATTATATTTGTATTATAGTAATTGTCTCTTATTAATTAGTTAAATTTAAATATCTATAATCTTAGATACATCAAGTTAGATCCTACTTGACATTAAAAACTTAAAATATTTATATAAAATATAAAATTATATATATATAAAAAATATAAAAAATTTATATTGTATAAGATTTTAATATAAACTTATAATAAGATCATCAGGTATAAAAAACTAAGAAACTAAAGAGTCAGAAATTTATTTAAAAATTCTAAGTAAAAAGATAGTACAAATTTTTGATAATGCTATTAAACTATAGAAATTTATAAAACATCTTTAAAAAAGAAATAAGTAAATAAACTAAATAACAAAATATATAAAAGATTATATAATCAATTAAATATTAAAATTACTAAAAAAAAAGAATATATAAATATATTATACTAGAACATCTGAATTGATTATTGGAAATTTTTTTCAATTCTAAATAATAGTTAGTAGAGAATAATAAAGAAAATATTAAAAAGATGAATATTAGAGTTTAGATGAATTTTACAATGATATAGTAGATTAATAGTTAAACTTGACTATAAGTACTGATTTAAATCAAAACAGTACTAGGTCAGCTATAAGTATAAAATACAGAAAACTTTAATAAATTTAATATAAATTTAAATATAATTTAATGATTATGCATATATTCACTAATTTACCTGAATTATTAATAAGATAAAATAAATATAAAATCTAGAGTGTTTAAATAAAGAATCTATAAACAGGTTTAAATATAACAATTAGTATAAAACCTTCAGACAGACTACTTAAATTAGATAATAACTAAAGTTGTATAAGTGACTAGTTGTACACTTATTTTATGATTACTTTTGTAATTATTGTATATAACAACTATTAGACAAACTATATTATTAAAATGTTTTTTTTATTCTATTTGAATTATGGAAAATATTAAAATATTAAAAAATTGTGTATGAAAAGAGTAAAAAATTAATACAAATAAGATGAAACAAAATAAAAATCCAATAAAAGTAATAGAAAAAGGATATGATCTTGTATATGCCTTTTACATAATAAAATTTGTTATAAAAGAAGTAGAATTTTTCTTATAAAAGTAAAATCAAAACCAAAAAAAAAGCATAATAATAAATTTATTAATAAAGACCCTTTTAACATATAAAATAACAACATTCTTTAAAAATCTCTGTTCTTATCTAATAATACTCTCAAAAACCGCCTTAACCTGTGCTAAATCGTAACTACCTCGTTCTCACTTTTGAGCAACGTTACGCAATGTTAACAATTTCGTAGCGACAATTCTTCTATCTGCGTTCCCGACCTTCTAGCGCATAACACTATATAGTTTAAAAAATAAATTAACTATTCTAATTTTATAAAAAAATTATTTTAACTTTTAACATTTATTTTTTTAGAATTTTTCAAATTGCCGCTGTCACCTGATTGCATTTTGACCAATTATATTACGGAGCCAGGTGTAACGTTTATGTAACACGAAAACGAAGAAACCACAGTTTTGTAATACGTAACTCTATGAAACCACTTTTCATACTCTAATAAAAAAAATTCCTTGCCTCCAACGCTATTTCTAACTCTAACCCTAATAAACCTCGATCACCGCCGGCGACGTTAAAAACCTTTCTTTATTTAATTATAGATTACCTTTTAACTTTTTTTTAATTTAATAAATTTAACACAATTTTTTATTAAATCATTCTATTTGGCATGTAAATAAACCAATGTTTTTGACCCAAATTACATCATAACTTACCGTTACCAAATAATAAGCGGGTAAAAATTTTCTCAATGACAATCTCTGTTACACGTTAGATTCATATCATGTACGACATACGTACGTACCTAGGCAAGTTGGCTGTACGGTAGTACAGATTCGGACAAACGCATGTACAAAAATAAATTTAATTTTTATAAGCCTTTTCTTAACGGCTAATGTTTAGGGCAAATGCTATTATTGTCCTTCGTGTTAGGGTAGAGACAGATTATAGGAAAAATAACTTGAATGAATTTGTTTCATCTACAAATCCGTACTATCATAATTTGCGTTTGCATATTGAAATGTACGTACAACTGATCATTTAATAGATCTCATCTAGATAATTAGATATGATCTGCGTATATTTACTATTATAAAAACCGATTAATGAATAGAGCTGAACAAGCCCTAGATCTGCATTTTGATAAGTTATCACGATGAGATCTAATGTTTTTAATCAGTATCGGTTATATAAATGGTATAAATAATGCCAATTTCTCATTTAATAAACCCAGAATTCTACTTTTTGAATCCAGCTATTGTACATAATGGCATCAGCTAAACTATGGGGAGGTCGCTTTACAGGTGCCACGGATCCTCTTATGGATGCTTTTAATGCTTCCATACATTTTGATAAGCGTTTATTTGAAGCCGACATTCTTGGATCACAAGCTTATGCTAAGGCTTTAGCTAAACGTGGTATAATTACTTCGAATGAATGCGATTCACTTGTTGATGGTCTTAATAAAGTTCTTGAAGAATGGAGAACAAACACTTTCAAAATACAACCAAATGATGAAGATATCCACACCGCAAACGAAAGGCGTTTGGGTGAATTTGTTGGAAGCGTTGCTGGAAAATTGCATACGGGGCGCAGTAGAAATGATCAAGTTGCAACAGATTTAAGAATTTGGGTTAGGGAAGAAGCAAAGAAATTATTAACCTATGTTAAACAACTAGTTTATACAGCTGTTGAAAGAGCTGACAAAGAAATTGACGTAGTGATGCCAGGCTACACACATTTACAAGTAAGTAACGATAATGTGTAATTTAACTACTTTCCTAAAGACGCGTTGTGTAACGTTACACTCTCTTATGTCAGAGAGCCCAACCTATTCGATGGAGCCATTGGCTTCTGAGTTATGCTTGGAGCTGGCAGGCCGATGCACAACGTCTTGAACAAATTATCGATCGCATCAATGCCCTTCCTTTGGGCAGTGGTGCATTAGCCGGCAATCCTTTCAATATCGATCGGGAGTTCCTAGCTAAAGAACTCGGGTTCAAAAATGTCATTCCAAATAGCTTATATGGTGTTAGTGATCGGGATTTCGTGGCTGAATTACTATTCTGGGCTTCAATGACAATGATTCACATTAGTAGATTTTCTGAGGATTTAATTCTTTACAGCTCTGGTGAATTTAGCTTCGTTTCTCTCGCAGATGCTTACAGGTATGGGTGTCCCTTCTATGATAGCAAATAACGTGACAAGGTGTGTTGACTCTTATTACTATTATAGTACTGGAAGTAGCCTTATGCCACAAAAGAAAAATCCTGACAGTTGCGAGCTATTGCGCGGCAAATCTGGGCGTGTCTTTGGACAGGTAACAACCGAACCCGGAATTAACTTGTTCCCGATGGAAACATCAATTATTAATATTATACCATTTGTTCTTTTTTGTTGTTAAAAGTTATCTGGATTTCTTATGACGTACAAAGGCATTCCAAGTACTTATAATAAAGATCTTCAAGAAGATAAAGAACCAATTTTTGATGCAGTAGAAACATTGGCTGGGTCTTTGCAAATTACTACTGGAGTCTTATCAACACTTACAGTAAGTTATTGTCTTAATGTAATAAATGACTTATAAATATCAACAATATATTTTATTTTGTCCCAATGTAGATTCATCCAGATAATATGAAGAAAAATTTAAGCATTGATATGTTGGCTACCGATGTTGCGGAATACCTTGTACGAAAAGGGGTATATAGTGTTTATTTGACTTTATCGAATCTTTATTGCTTTCTCCTATTTATTAATTTTCTCTTTTAGGTTCCCTTTCGCGAAACACATCATGTAGCAGGCGCTGCTGTTAGAGCGGCTGAAGAACGTAATATTACAATGGCTAATCTTGAACTATCCGATTTCAAACAACTTCATCCCTCTTTCGAGCAAGACATTACTGAAATTTGGGATTATGAAAAAAGTATTGAAACTAGGTCAAGTTTAGGTGGAACAAGTAGAGCAACAGTTTTGGAGCAAATACAAAAATTAAGAAAGTGGTTAAATGAAAGTTAAATTATAAAATTTTATTTACGGTTATACGGTATATTAGCTGTGGTAAAAAAATAATCGTACGATTGCTGGATTATAAAGTTGAGTTTATACTTTTAAATAGATGTTTCGAATTTTTGAAAAATATTGAAATTATTTTAATGAAATGTAGTACACTTTTAGTATAGAATACAGTCAAACCTCTATAATCACACCCTTGGTTTTAAGAATTTGGTGTTTATATAGAGTTTGTGCTTATATAGAGGTCAAATTTTATAAGTGATATATAAGTCGGTTTTAAATGTGACTATAGAGGAGGTGGCTATAAAGAGGTCTGATTGTATATTATCTAAGCTTTTTTTATTTTTATTAAAAGTTTGTAAAGTATTTTAATTTGAAATATTAAATTTATAATAAATTTTTTTAATAAAACTGTCAAAAAATATTAGTATTTGTAAAATATTTTGTAGTTCTTTTGATTTAAAAGTTTTTTTAACTATTTGCTTAATTAAAAAATATTTTGATAAATTATTGTTTATAAAGGCAAATCTTATACGGAACAGGAGGAACCGTCGATGTTACATAACAGATCCTTCACCAGTGTGCAACATATAAAAAATTATTTTACAATACCAGACATTTCGCTAGTACATATTACGATTATAATCCTACACTATACATGTCATAGAAACTATTTGGCATTGATTTTTAATATAAATTTCTGAGTTAATGTTGCAAAGATACTAAGTTAAATGTTTTTTTAATATTTTAAAAAACTAGCTATAGTTCTTTTTTTTTAATGTTAAAGTCCCTATTTTTAGGATGTGATGTTTTTATTCAAGTATATAGGACATGGCATGTCATTAGGAGTTATCTTACATTGGAAGTTACAACTAGTCACATGTACACTTTTGGTACCTAATTTAAGTAATCTGCTTATACATTACTATATAATTTTTATACTAGATGTCATATCTGCAAGTCAACTAGGGGTCTTGCCTATTTAAACCTTCTGCATATGCAATCCTTCTTGTATCACAAGAACATCTTCAAGGTTACACCTATCCAAATTCTCAATGTTGATTAGTACCCTTAGAACTACTTTATTCTTGACAAGAAACTTACTAGAGCTTTTATATCCTACACATACTAATCTAGTTTTATGTAACATGTTATAGTTATCTAATACTTGCAGTCACAGGAGTTATCTGTTTAACTATTACATTATACTATTTCTAATTTTGTAAAGTTTATTAGAACCTCAATACCTATCTTTCTAGCATCTTTTTCATTATCTCCTACTAGTTGCAACTTGGAACCAGCAGTCTTTTTCAAACTACCAATTCAAATGGTCTAGTATGGTATATTTCTGTATCCTTTTTTTCTAATGAGTTTGGCAGCTTGGTTAATTATGTGCTCATCTACACATATTTGATGTTTAATTTAATCTTTAGTTCTTATAAAGATGTTTCATGAACTTTAATTAGTCTGATAATACTGTTGAAAATTTATGCTACCTTTTTATTCAGGAATTTCCAAGTAGATTTCTATTATTTTAGTTCTTTAGTCATCTATGTTCAGTGGTCTTATTATAAGTTTGTCTTAAAATCTTATACAAAACTGATTATATATTTCTCTATGTACATGTAATATTACACTTCATATAGATCTTCAAGTTCCTAATGTTAATAAAACCTAACTTGGTGTATTTGGGTTACAGTTACATAAGGCCAACTAATCAACAGGAAACAATTATCATAATATAGATATAATTTTCAAATTTTATTATAGATAAAATTTGAACCTTAGATCTGTCAATTAGAGAATGATAACTTAACTACTACATTAGAATTATCATTCTTAGATATAGTTCTTTATTATTATCTTTAGCATTTTATTATTATTATTATTATTATTTTAAAGAGAGATTTATTCTCTATCTTTTTTATTAATTAGTTAATTTATATATTTAAAATACATGTTAAAGAAACTAAACTAGAGGTGATAAAGGTAAAAGTTACTTTATTTTTAACATATTCTTTATAGAATAGTTAATAAATCTTTAATTTTTAATAAAATAATAAAATAATAATTATTTATAAGTAATATAATAGTATATTTTTTTATAGTTTTAACTAATATTAAAGTTGTAATAATAATGAAATTAGGGGTGTGGCAACCTAGTGAAGTGGTCAGGTTGTCAACCCCCCAAGTGTTAGATTGAGTGTTCAAATCCCATCGATGGCGAAAATTTGGATAATCACCTATATAATATTCGTATTATGGCAACTGTTACTAACGGTTGAGTTAGGATACCTGTAATGGCGGTCGCACCAGCATGACTGGCAGGTCATGGGGCATCTGTGCAATGTTGGAGTTACAC